GAGGAAGAAGGAATATCCGCTTGCACCAAGGGTTGTGTTTTGGTTGTTTGGGTGGTTTCAGGTTCATGGGTTTCTGTTGGTTGTTGGGGTGATGAAGGAAGGGTAGTTATAGGTTCTGGTTGTTGGGTTGTTGTGGGATCTGATTGTGTGGGTGAAGATGGTTGGTTTGTGGGTTCTGGTAATGTGGGTGAAGATGGTTGGTTTGTGGGTTCTGGTAATGTGGAGATGATGAATGGTTGAGTTGTGTGAGGTGTTGATGAAGGGGTTAAGGGTAGGTTTGTTTGTGTTGGAGGGGTAGTGGGTTCTTCATCGGATGCAGAGCTTAACTCGATGGGATCTGTTAGGGGTTGTAGTTGAGTGGATGATGGTTGTGGTGCAGCGGATTGTGTTGCATGTGCAGCCGCCGTTGTCTCCCCCTCACGAGGGCCAAGGCCTTGATCATCGGGGTCTTCGTCATCGTGTCTTATTTGTTTCTATGGTCGGCTGCTCGAGCATGAGGCATGGGACCTCTTCTTCTTTCTTTCTTTCCTGAAGGACGTAAGATACGCCTTTAGGACAGCCTGTCGTCGGCTGGCCTCCATAGTCTGGAGGAGGGAGGTGGTGCGTCGTTGTTCATCGGCCAACGTTTGAGTAAGAGCCCTTGTTGGATGGATGGCCCGATGAACGAACTTTGCACTGATCTCGTTGAAGGAGGAGACCAGTGCTCTTGACAGAGCTTGCATGTCCGCCCTGGTGGCGAACTCTGTTGAGGAGGTGGAGGCTGGAGGGTGTGGTGGCATGGTTGAGGTGGAARAGGGTGGTGGAATGGGAAGGTTGGTGATTAAGTTTCTCACCTCTGCAGTGAATGTAGAAAAGGCTTCGTCGAAAGAAGGTCATGCAGAGGGAGGAGGTGGTGGAGGAGTGGGTTGAGGTATTTGGGCGAGGATGGCAGCAGGGAGTTGGGTGAGGGTGTCTTGGATAGAGGTGATTTGGTRGGTGAGRGWGKTAAGGGTKTCATCGATTGAAGAGGTGGAAGGTTGAGAAGGTTTGGGAATTTGAGAGATGATGGAGGATGGTAGTTGATGAAGATGGCGAGTGATGGTTTGTAGTTGGGAAATGATGTAAGTGAGATTTTCATCGGTCTCAATTGCCTGAGCCGTGAGGGTGGCAAGGGATTGGAGAAGGACTTGGTTGCGTTGGGTGGCTAGGGATGAGACGGTGTTATGATGTTGGGTGATGGTTTGTTGGAG